TTGTCTCTTACTAAAACACTTTTATTATTATTATTATTATTATTATTTATTATTATTATTAATTATTATTATTATTATTATTATTATTATTATCACCTGTGTAATTATCCTACAGGTTCGTTCTACCAGGTCAGTCATATGACACTCTCAGTGCCCAGCAAGCTCTTCTGGGTCAAAATGTACGTAAGTTGTGTGTGTGAAGGTTGATACTGTGATGAGAGAGAGAAGAGAGAGATCCTTATATAAACTACAGAACAACAACAACAAACATCTTCTCTTATCCTATTCCATCTTTCCCATAATCCTTCTCTCTCCTCCCTCTCCTCCCTCCCCCCCTCTCCTCTCCTCCTCCTCTCTCCCACAGTCCCCCTCTCCTCTCTCCTCCTCCCTCTCCTCCCCACAGTCCCCCTCTCCTCTCTCCCCCTCTCTCCTCCCCAGTCCCCCCTCTCCTCTCTCCTCTCTCTCTCCTCCCACAGTCCCCCTCTCCTCTCTCCTCCTCCCTCTCCTCCCCAGTCCCCCTCCTCTCTCCTCCTCCCTCTCCTCCCACAGTCCCCCCCCTCTCTCTCCTCCTCCCTCTCCTCCCCACAGTCCCCCTCTCCTCTCTCACCTCCCTCTCCTCCCCAGTCCCCCCTCTCTCTCTCACTCCTCCCTCTCCTCAGTCCCCTCTCTCTCACTTCCTCTCCTCCCCAGTCCCCCTCTCTCTCCTCCTCCCTCCTCCCTCCGCTGGTGAAGGAGGTTGTATCAGTAGCAGGAGGTCAGGAGGTGGAGGTGGACGTGTTTGTGGACGGCTCTGTGGGCCTCAACACCTTCTTTACCTCCAAGTTCTCTCACGACGGCGGAGTCATCAAGGTGGTCAATCCCGAGGGCGAGGTGTTCGAGGGGGACAACTCCTTCACGTACCTGGAGGCCGATGCTCAGCCCGGCCACTGGAGGTACGTGAGTGTGGAGTGATTGGAGGGACGTGGGAGTAATTGGAGTGATTGGAGGCTCTTGGCAATGATTGGATATACAGTAAAGATTAAACTATCCAGGTAACTGTTCTCACCTAACCTAACCTAACCTAACCTAACCTAACCTAACCTAACCTCTCGTCTCTCTCTCTGTGTGTCTCTCAACATCTCATCAGGGTAGTAGTGAGGAACCCGACCCACGGAGGAGCAGCTGAAGTTATGGTCGTGTCCTCTGGCCGACCGGGTAAGGCTCAGGTGGAGATCAAGACCTACACTACAGCCCCTAACCACCACGCCCTGGACCTGAACACCTCCGCCCTGGCCTTCTACGTGAGCGTCAGACAAGGGAAGAATGCTATAAGGGACTTGAATGTGATGGTGACCTTCTACAGCGGAGATCAGAACGCCGTCCCTATTTCTCTTACTCTTGAGGACGATGGTTATGGCGGTGAGTGTCTGTCTCTCTGTCTGTCTGTCTGTCTATCTGTCTGTCTATCTGTCTGTATATTTATCTATCTATCTCTCGTATTTTGGGGTGAAGTTATAAGCGTTTGTTCTCTCTCTCTCTCTCTCTCTCTCCCCCCCCCCCCTCTCTCCCTATGAGGTATGTAGAGTTATCGGGAGTTCTCCAAAAGTTCTTCACACGGTTCAAAAAGTCTCGTTCTCTCTAAGTTCTTCATAGAGTTACAATAAGTTCTCAACATATGTACATACAGACAGACAAACACACAGACATACAGACAGACAAACACACAGACATACAGACAGACAAACACACAGACATACAGACAGATAAACACAGCCTCACCTTCCCGACAGATCCCGACGTACAGCTTCACGATGGAGTCTACTCAGCATACATTACTGACTTTGCCGATGAAGTGAGAGAAGCAGAGACACGATTCTACGCCGACGTGACAATCATTCCTCTTGACCACCACGCCCTCCACCCACGTCCACACCACGCCCGCGATGATCTCTACCCACGCCCACAATGTCGGCCTCCTACCTCGGGATCCTTGTAAGAGTGTGTGTGTGTGTGTGTGTGTGTGTGTGTGTGTGTGTGTGTGTGTGTGTGTGTGTGTGTGTGTGTGTGTGATCTCACTTATATATTACCTTACTTTTGACCCCTCACACACACACTCTCTCTCCCACACTCTCCCACACTCTCTCACACACTCCCTCACTTCCTACAGTCGCCGTAACACCTTGCTGTGGAGGGAGGGTCACCATCAGCCAGCCTACAGGTGTCCCGGCAGATGAAAGGAGTTACCTGTCTCTCAGTTACCAACAGCGCTGACCACTACGACCCAGTATGTATGTATGTATGTATGTATGTATGTATGTATGTATGTATGTATGTATCAAGATCACCATTATCACTATCACCACCAGGCACCAAGCACCAGACGTGGTGGTAAGCAGAGTTGACCAGGACGGCCCAGCTATCGACGCGGGCACTGTGTTGGTAACTCTCAGATGGACCTCCCCGGGAAAGGACCTTACCAGTGGGATAGGTAAGGAAGGGTTGGGGTAGGGAGTGAAAGGGTGTGGGGAGAGGTGGAGGGTGGGTAGAGGGTGGGGGAACAGGGTGGGAAGGGTGGAGAAAGATGGGGAGGGGTGAAAAGGGGTGAAGAAGGGTGAAGAGAAAGTGGGTGGAGAAACGATGAGAAAAAAATGGATAGAAAAGGGGATTTCAACTTACCTTTCTTTCGCCTCCCTTTCCTCTCCTATGCCATTTTTCCTTCCCTCCTTTCCATCCCCTTCTCTATGCTTCATCTCTTTTCTTCATTTCTCTTCTCTCCATTCCACCCTCCTGTCCCTCATTCCTCCTCTCCCACCCTTCCTCACCTATCTTATTCCACACCCAGCCTCTCTCCACAAAAACACACCTGGGCAAATAGAGAGTGGCAGGTGCAGCCGCTGTTCGTTAAGGCCAGGTAGATTAATTAAGACAGGTGCCGCAGGTCAGTCGTCTTCTGAAACATCAACACACCGCCGCCGGAGAGGGAGGAGAGGTGGGGGGGGTGGAGAATATGTATTAATCCGGATTTATCGTCGCGTTCTGAGGTTCAATCCGGATTAATTTTGATGGTATTGTATTGATGTATTAATTATGTTTTATTGTTATATATACTCTTATTATTATTATTAAGACTACTACTACTACTACTACTACTACTACTACTACTACTACTACTACGACTACTATTACTACTACCACCTTTGAAATAGAAAACTCAATCAACAGAAATAAAATTAAATGATAATAATTGTAACTTTTTTCCCTCAGTCACCAGTTATGAGGTGTGGTATAGTGACATCATGGAGGAGATAGTGAACAACTTTAAGTCTTGTTCACTGGTGGCTGATGAACAGTACCTACATGGTAGGAGTGTGTGTGTGTGTGTGTGTGTGTGTGTGTGTGTGTGTGTGTGATGGGGGGGTTGTACTGTATGTGGGAAAGTATATGTGTGGATATTGAGTACAGGATGGCGAGTAGCTGGCGAGTAGATGGCGAGAGATGGCGAGTAGATGGGATAGGGAGTAGATGGTGAATGAGTAAATAACACAGTAAAAATATGATAAAAATATAAAGAAACTACATATATTAATTATGGTAAGATAATTATATATATTTAATTAATGTTTCTCATCTCCTTAGAGCCTCCTGAGCCCAGACCATACGGGGTGAGATCAGGGACGACCTCACCTACCTAAGAGAGTTGAGGAACCTACTCAGTACTTCCTTGTCGTGGGGTAGACGACCATCAGAGAGGTAGGGGTAAGGACACGACACGACACAGAAGGGGTGTAGGTGGTGTGGGGGTGTGGTGGGGGGGTGGGGTGGGATAGGGAAGGTGTTATGGGTATACAACATATTGTAGTTGGTTAGGTTAGGTTTAGTTGCTAGGTTAGTTAGGTTGTAGGTTGGGTTAGGTTGGGTTAGGTTAGGTTAGGTTAGGTAGGGTTTAGGTTAGTTAGGTTAGGTTTATGTTACATGTTAGGTTAGGTTAGGTTGGGTTGGGTTACGTTAGGTTAGGTTAGGTTAGAGGAGTTAGAAAGTATGAATTCTATCTGTTTGTTTATCTTTTATGTCTGTCTGTCTGGTCTGTCTGTCTGTTTGTCTGTCTGTCTGTCTGTCTGTCTGTCTGTCTGTCTGTCTGTCTGTCTGTCTGCCTGTCTGTCTGTCTGTCTGTCTGTCTGTCTGTCTGTCTGTCTGTCTGTCTGTCTGTCTGTTCGCTGTCTGTCTGTCTGCCTGTCTATTCGTTCGTCTGCTGTCTGTCTGTCTGTTCGTCTGTCTGTCTGTCGTTCTTCGTTCTCGTCTGCCCGTCTGTCTGTCTGTCTGTTCTCGTCGTCTGCCTGTCTATCTGTCTGTCTGTCTGTCTGTTCGTTGTCTGTCTGTCTGTCTGCTCTCATTCGTCTGTCTGTCTGCCTGTCTATCCTGTCTGTCTGTCTGTCTGTCTGTCTGTATGTTTCTCTGTTCGTCGCCTGCTCATTCGTCTGTCTGCCTGTCTGTCTGTCTGTCTGTCTGTCTGTCTGTCTGTCTGTCTTACTGACGGATGTTTATTTTTCTATATATCATCAGGGTTCACCAGGCGCTCCGCAGAGTGTGGTGGTGACTCCTGGTGTTGCCTTCACTACCACACCGTACCACCACTACCACACCGTCTGTTACCACAACCACACCCTCTACCACCACTACACACCGTCTACCACCACTACACACCGCGTTACAACCACACCTCTACACACACCAAACCGTCTACCACCACTACCACACCGTCTGTTACCACAACCACACCCTCTACCACCACTACCACACCGTCCACCACTACTACCACACCGTCTACCACCAATACCCACAACTCCACCACCACTACCACACCGTCTACCACCACTACCACACCGTCTACCACCACTACCACACCGTCTACCACCAATACCACACCGCTACCACCACTACCACACCCTCTTCTACCACCACCCCTCAGGTACCACAACTCATCTGCTACCACCATCCCCTCTACCACCACCACCCCACACCACCACTACCAACGTGGATGTAACAAGTACAGGTAACATTTATTTGTGTCACATAAAATATATATATTTATCTATCCATCGACTTAGCATATATGATGACGTGTACACCGATAGACGACGAATCAAAACCCTCAAACGAAATGTCAACACGAACGAACCAATACCAAGCCTGTAAACCCCACTCACTCATCAAATTCACCAATCAGAGACCTCTTACCATACCCTCTAGCTATCCCAGTACATCAGCTGTTTACATTCCCACTTGAACGCGACTCTTCTGGATTACCCCTGAGACCAGAGACCTGAGACCTGAGACCAGAGACCTGAGACCTGTGACCTGAGACCAGAGACCTGTGACCTGAGACCTGAGAACCTGAGACCTGAGACCCAGACCTGAGACCTGGACCAGAGACCTGTGACCTGGAGACTCTGAGACCTGTGACCTGTGACCTGAGACCTGAGACCTGGACTGACTGAGACCTGAGACCTGAGACCAGAGACCTGAGAACCTGAGACCTGAGACCTGAGACCAGAGACCAGGACTGAGACCTGAGACTGAGACCAGAGACTGAGACTGAGACCTGAGACCAGAGACCTGACCTGAGACCTGAGACCCAGACCCAGACCTGAGACCTGAGACCTGTGACCCTGACCTGAGACCTGAGACCTGAGACCAGAGACCTGAGAACCTGAGACCTGAGACCTGAGACCAGAGACCTGAGACCAGAGACCTGAGACCTGAGACCTGAGACCTGAGACCAGGACCTGTGACCTGGAGACCTGAGACCTGAGACCTGTGACCTGAGACCAGAGACCAGAGACCTGTGACCTGAGACCTGAGACCTGAGACCTGACCTGAGACCTGAGACCAGAGACCTGTGACCTGAGACCTGAGACCTGGACCTGTGACCTGAGACCTGAGACCTGAGACCTGTGACCTGAGACCACCGGGACAGAGACCTGAGGAACCTGAGACCTGAGACCTGAGACCAGAGACCTGAGACCAGAGACCTGAGAACCTGAGACCTGAGACCTGGACCAGAGACCTGAGACCAGGACCTGAGAACCTGAGACCAGAGACCGAGACCTGGACCTTGACCTGAGACCTGTGACCTGAGACCTTGACCTGTGACCCGAGACCTGAGACCAGAGACCAGAGACCTGTGACCTGTGACCTGTGACCTGTGACCTGAGACCTGAGACCTGTGACCTGGACCTGAGACCAGAGACCTGTGACCTGAGACCTGAGACCTGACCTGTGACCTGTGACCTCCCTCGCTATCATAATGTCAACAAACTCCTCTTACCTGTGTATGGAAGTCTCTAATCAGGTGAAGACACTTGAGAATAATTCCTTGTTTACAAAATTGTTAATGAGATATTCTGAAGGTTTTGTAATTACCTGTAAATACATACTATAAAGGTGGGTGTTGTTGTGATCAATACTAACAGGTAAACAACAAGAGAATTTAACCTATTGAGTACGTTGATTGGACATAAGATGACTGACCTTGAGTACAATGATTGAACTTGAGTACGACGACTTAAACACCTGAGTTCAATTCCATCGTACTCACCAGGTTAAGAAGACAGTGTGAGGCCAGATCTCCACAAAACACAGGTTCCTTAAAAGGGGTCACACAAGGACAAACACGGACAAACAAGGTCATACGAGGTCACCAAAGACAAACACGGACAAACAAGGTCATACGAGGTCACTAAGACAAACAAGGTCATACGAGGTCAAATAAGGACAAACAGGGTCATACAGAGTCAAACCAGTGTCAGTATCTATCCAAAATAGAAACACTACTATGAATAATTAAAAGCACAATTTCAAATCTTAATTACCAACAAACATATACATTTCAAGGCAAATCCTTTACTAAACTACCTACATGTTGCCCTCAGTACTAATTAACTGAACCAATTACTGGGTTTATTGAAGGATCGATTTAGTACCAAAATGTGTGTGAAATTAGTGCCAACAGGTGTGTCAAACTAGTGCCAACAGGTGTGTGATTAGTGCCAGGTGTGTGTGAAATTAGTGCCAACAGGTGTGTCAAATTAGTGCCAACAGGTGTGTGAAATTAGTGCCAACAGGTGTGTGTCAAACTAGTACCAACAGGTGTGTGAAATTAGTGCCAACAGGTGTGTTAAACTAGTGCCAACAGGTGTGTGAAATTAATATATTTTGTTCCACACTTAATACTTAACTATACACCAATACACTTACAAAGACACTGACTGTTTAGAGAGGCAAATACTTAATGGCACTTAGAGACACCTACTCCATATTTCTGGCACCCATACTTGGCACTTATCGATGCACCAATAGACTTACCGGTACTTAGAGATACTTACTGATGCACTCCATTACACATTTGGCACTTGGCCTTGTGTGGAGATGGTGAAGGTACTCGACAGGTGATGTTGACTTAATTTGGGTGAGATCAGGTGAGTGGCACAGGTAAGTTGGAAATACTAAGAGAGAGAGAGAGAGAGAGAATATATTGTTAAGTACACATTACTCATATTCTAAGTCACATATTGTACTTATTGCACATATTATAAATTACATATTGGACTTGTCGTTTCATCTGCAGGTTCTACGGCAATAAGTGATTCCTCTACAATGGCTACCACTATATCCCCTGACCCTGGTGAGTCTCTCTCTGTCTGTCTCTGTCTGTCTGTCTGTCTGTCTGTCTGTCTCGTTATCTATATCTCTGTATGTCTGTCTGTCTTTGTCTCTATTTATCTCCCCTTATCCCATTAACATATATTGCACGGATTGTCAGCTGTTTATCGTGTTGAGGGCGTTGTCAGCTTAATGTCAGCGCTGTCAGTCATAAGTACCAAGTAATCCGTCAGCTTAATGTCAGCATCATTAATGGCGTCAGAGAAGGAAGAGCAAATAAACATACAGGGTTTACACACACACACACACACACACACACACACACACACACACACACACACACACACACACACACACACACACACATCACTGAAAGGAATAAATTTACATATTTAATCACCTTCCACTGCCTCAAATTGAACATAACTATATAAACAACTTCTTTATGGTAATGTAATTCACTAACTTAACCTAACCAAAAGACTCATGTTATATACCTCAAGGATTCATTTTGTTGACTAATAATATATATATATTTTTAGGTTGGTTAGGTTACGGTGGCTAATCATAAAATAAAATGAGTTTGTTGAGTGAGTGGAGTTAAAATATTCAGTTGTTTAATATATATAACCTTTGAACTATGAACTAAAACAGGTGATCCATAGTATATCATTATACACCTGGATGACACGATTTAGAACCTGTTATCTATCTACTGTTGTCTGTTATTGGAGGACGGTTCACTGCCTGTTAATACTGTTTCCATTGATGTAGAGTATAGTCAGGGGGTTCTTCGGATGTTGATTGGTTGAGATGAGTTGGGGAAAGAATCTCATTGGCTCATAGCAATAAAAGAAAATGGGAAATATAACTCCTCCTCAAATCTGATTGGCTGAGTCGTATAAAGAAGAATGGGTTTCAGATTCTCCTTTACATCTCATTGGTTCACAGTAGAAATCCCTCGACTCAAGAAAATCGGTCCATAAACATTGATATCTAAGTTGTTGAGAGAGACAGAGGTACACTTATTTCATCTCCTTCCTTCAGGGTTCGTGGGCTCCGTTTGGTTCTGGGTGATCATAGGTGTGTCGACCTTTGCTGTACTGTCCATCGCTGCCTTTACCATCTATCAACAATGTTACATCAAGAAGAACAAGAACAAGAACACCAGAATCAGCACCCAGACTCTCATAACCACGAACACCAAGAACACTAAGAACAAGAACGGCGGCACTATTCTCACCCAGAGGAACACCACTACATATGACTCCATCCAAGCCACCAAGGTTGAAGAGGGCAGGATTTCGCCGCTAGAGGACTCCACTAACGCTGTCGGAGGTCCAGGAAAGACAGAAGAGGCCCCTAGGGAAGAAACCTCACATATGGAGGTCATTAACGAGGGTCTTGAAGAGGAGGAGGGAAGGAGGAAGACATGGTGACGAGTCTGTGATTTCTGACGGTGCTGAGAAAGGAAGATGGATTTCTGAAGAAGAAGAAGAAGAAGAAACAGAGGAGGCAGAGCGAGTGGTTCTTGACATCCTACACAGAGGCTCGTCTTGACACTTTCTGTAATAATGATTCAGTGGAAATTGTGGAGAATAAATATTGGAAGGAAATTGTTTTGTGTCCGTGATGTGATCTATGATTACAATGGGTTAGAGAGAATTATATCGATGGAGGAGTTACCTTGCTCTCTCTCTCTCTCTCTCTTCACCTGTCTGTCTGTGTCTGTCTGTCTGTCTCTCTCTTCATCTGTCTGTCTCTCTCTGTCTCCCATATCTCTGCCTCTCTTCAACTCTCTGTCTTTTCTTTGTTCTCCTTCTCTTTATTTCTCTGTCTCTTTCTGTCATGTACATATTGAGCCTACAGATTGAGGCTACATATTGAGGCTACAGATTGAGGCCACAGTTTGAGGCTCCCGTTCCAAGACCTACAACCCATCACACACCTGTCAACTAACTGAACTCATCAAAGAAAACGAGGAGCTTGGTAAATTGGACGGAGAGGAAGTAAGGGGGGGACTACACTATCAAGTAAAGATGGCCTTGGGTGTGTGGTGTGTGTGGAGGACAACTTTATGACACTCTTGCCTTTGATCATGAGGAGAAAGACTGTGATGAACCTTAATAAACAATGGTGTAGACATTAATATATAATATATATAAATAAATGTTTGTGTTTATAGAGTCATTTGATGTTTGTGTTTATAGAGTCATTTGATGTTTGTGTTTATAGAGTCATTTGATGTTTGTGTTTACATATAATCTAACAGTATCATGTGTTTTCTATTTTGAGATATCAGGTCGTGTTTGTTGTGTTGCATGTATGTGTGTGGATCATGAACACACACACACACACACACACACACACACACACACACACACACACACACATACACACACCTATATTCATGACACTCACAGCAGTGTGTGTGTGTGTGTGTGTGTGTGTGTGTGTGTGTGTGTGATGGGATATACGGTAAACACCTGTCATCTCCTCCCTCACCCCTCCCCTCCCCTCACCCCCCTCTCTCAGGCCAAATGAACCTGTTTACCTATTGGGCCGTTACACCTCGACAGAGGCCTTCATTATGGGACCAATCAGGACCCTGGAGCCCGCCGGCACACCACCACCAGGGTGTTAGGGGCGTGGTGTGCCTGAGGGCGTGGTGTGTCTGAGGGCGTGGTGTGCCTGAGGGCGTGGTGTGTGTGAGGGCGGGTGTGTCTGGGGCGTGGTGGCTGAGGCGTGGTGTGTGAGGGCGTGGTGTGCCTGGGCGGGTGTGCCTGAGAGGGCGTGGTGTGCCTGAGGGCGTGGTGTGTCTGAGGGCGTGGTGTGCCTGAGGGCGTGGTGTCTCTGAGGGCGTGGTGTGCTGAGGGCGTGGTGTGTCTGGGCGTGGTGTGCCTGAGGGCGTGGTGCTGAGGCGTGGTGGTGATGACGATACTGCCTCGACTTATACCGTACGTTGTGTATACCGTACGTTGTGTAGACCGTTGGATGTATGTATGCTGTAGGCTGTATGTATAACGTAAATTATGTATACTATAGGTTGTATGCATACGGTAGGTTGTATATATACCGTAGACTCGTAGACTGTATGTATACCACAGGTTGTGTATATAATGTAACCTCTATACACACACAATCATACATATGCATACAGGATGGTTAAAAATACAAATTATCCTTTGATCATAAATGAATAAATAAGGTGAAATATTTTAATATGTATCAATAATTATAATTGTTAAAATATTCATTAACAACGAACTTTAAATTGTCTATACAACAAATTAAGCGTTATTTGTTATGTATATTTAATTATACATAACACTAACTACAAAATGTTTCCCATATTTACACTGAGCATTTGTTGAGCCTCCCTATACATGTGTCTGTATGTATAACTTATACACACAGTGTGTGTGTGTGTGTGTGTGTGTGTGTGTGTGTGTGTGTGTGTGTGTGTGTGTGTGTGTGTGTGTGTGTATTCCTATGCATTTCACAGTCTTATAGATAGAACTGAAATTTGGTAGGGAGGTGCGGATGGTTTAGGAATTTTACATAAAAGATGAGACGTAGAGATTAATGAGAGAGTGGCGTAGAAAAATGGGAGGAAAATGTGGAAGGAAGAAGAATATGAAGACTGGAGTGAGGGAGAGAAGGGTAGAAGAGGGAGAAAGGAGTAAGGATGAGGAAAGGAGAAGGATGCAAGGGAGAGGAAGGAAGGAGAGGAGGATAGAGAGTGATGAAAGTAAAATATAAGAAAATGAAGAGAAGTGAAGGAGGAGCAGAAGACAGGAAGAGATAAGAGTCAGTGAGAAGAGGAGGAGAGTGGTGGAGGGAGAAGGAGTGAAGGAGGAGGAAGGAGGAGAAGGGTGGAGAGGTGAAGAAGGAGGAGAGAAGGAGAGTGGTTAAGAAGGAGAAAGGTGAAAGAGGGAGGGAGGAAAAAGTGGGAGGAAGGAATGAAAGAGGGAGGTAGGAAGAGGAGGTGGGAGGAGATTGGAAGGGGAGGAGGAGGTGGTGGAGGAGAAGAGTGAAGGAGGAGGAGGAGGAGATGGTGGGAGGAGGAAAGGTGAAGGAGGAGAGTGGAGGAGGAGGAAGGTGGTGGAGGAGGGAGGAGGGAGGGAGGAAGGAGGAGAGGTGGTGGAGAGAGAATGGTAGGAGGAGGGAGGAAGGAGAAAATAGGGGGAAAGGAGGAATGGAAGGAGGACAGGTGAGGGAGAAGGAGGGGGTTGGGAGGTGGTGGAGAGGAGGAGGGCAGCAGGATCTTCAGAAGGATGTCTGAGAGGACCCCACACCAATATCTGTCCCGACCTGGGCATGACCGCTGAGGCGTGTGTGGGGCGTGCATGGGGCGTGTGTTATGTGACGTGCGAGAAGCGTTTGAAAGCGTTATGGAGGGCGTGTAAAAGGCATAGGGGGCGTGTAGGGCGTCATAGCAAGGCGTGGAAGGCGAGTCGGGGGGCTCGAGGACGATCTTGATGGGACCTTCGTGTAGGTGTAACTACGTCCTGACCATAATTCGTTAACCGCTTCTCTCACCCTCCCCCTCCCTCCCTCACCCTTCCTCCCTCCCCTCCTCTAACACCCAATGCCTCAGGGAACAAGGGACGTTATTGGTGGCAAGAAATGGGGAGGGCAGAGGGATATGAGAAGGTGTTAAGGAGGGAGGGTGTGTTGGGGTGTGTTAGGGTGTGTTGGGTGTGTTAAAAGGTGTGTTAGGTGTGTTGGTGTGTTAAGGGTGTATTAGATTTAGGTGTTTATGGTGTGTTGAGGTGTGTTAGGGTGTGTTAGAGGTGTGTTAGAGTGTGTTGGTGTTAAAGGTGTGTTAGGGGTGTGATATGGGGTATTGCATGGTATGGGTGTGTGTTAGATTTAGAGGTGTGTTAGGGTGTGTTAAGGTGTTTAGAGGTGTGTTAGGGTGTGTTAGGGTGTGTGAGGTGTAGTAAGGGTGTGTTAAAGGTGTGTTAGGGTGTGTTAGAGTGTGTTAAGTGTGTTAGGGTGTGTTAGGTGTGTAGGGTGTGTTGTTAGAGGTGTGTTAGGGTGTGTTAAGGTGTTAGGGTGTGTTAGGGGTGTGTTAGAGGTGTGTTAGGGGTGTGTTAAGGTGTGTTAAGTGTTTTAGAGGTTAAGGGTGTGTAAGTGTTAGGGTGTTAGAGTGTAAAAAGTGTGTTAAGGTGTGTTAAGGTGTGTTAGAGGTGTGTTAGGTGTGTTAAGATGTTAAAGGTGTGTTAGGGTGTGTTAGGGTGTGTTAGGGTGTGTTAGAGGTGTGTTGAGGTGTGTTAGGGTGTGTTAAAGGTGTGTTGGGTGTGTTGAGGTGTGTAGGTGTGTTAGAGGTGTGTTTGGTAAAGTGTGTTAGAGGTGTGTTAGAGGTAGTTACACAGGTCAGTATACAGTGAGTGTGGTCGCCCACGTTGGTGGAGCTACCTCACTGTAACAAATATCATCAAAGTTGAAAGTGCCAGATGTCTCTCTCTCTCTCTCTCTCTCTCTCTCTCTCTCTCTCTCTCTCTCTTCTCTCTCTCTCTCTCTTCCTAATTCTCCCATCATCTCTTTCCTCCTCATCCTTTATTTTCCTTCTCACACTTACAAGTGAACACGATGTAATATAATTTGTAAGTAACACAGATCTATTTCAGGCACTTAGAAAATAAATGTATCACACTTATATGAACTTATAAACAACAGAAGACGATGTGAAAGTAATAGAGAGACACAGAGACTTACTTTTACCACTTATAAAATCATTAAATCCTACTTATATGGAGTCAGATACACAAAATTAAATTTGTGAATCATATATTGATTTATATTACTTACAAGGCAAAAAAAAAAACACTTATAAAAATCCATATACATTATACTTCAATTTATAAGTAATTTAGTCATATACATCACCATTACTTATAAAATGACACTTACAAACATATACTTATAAAAAAAAACTTAATATACCAGGTTGAAAAAAAATTACACTTAAGACGTATAACTATAATAATGTCTATAATCTCTCTACTATAATATATAATGACGGTAAAAGACGTATTTTGTCATTATACCCATCATTGTATTTCTTCTCGTGGATGGGGGTAAGAATACAGGTTGTATAAATTATTGTGTTTTCTTGTGGAGATAAATTATTAATGTTGTCTTGAGGAGGAAAGTGGAAGACAGTAAATTGTGTCTGTTTTCTTCAGTTTCTTGTTTATCATTTATTAGTGAGAGAGAGAGAGAGAAGAGAGAGAGAGAGAGAGAGAGAGATGACCAATAAACCCAATAGACAAAACAAGACTCAGACTGGGACAAGAAATGTTCGCGTGTAGTGTCAGGAGCTGAGGTTCAGGAGGTGATCCTTCTCGGTTTTCCCAGCGGGGGGTTCCTGACGGCGCTGACGGAGCTATTTTGTCTGACCTGGCAAATGTCACACCAACAGCTAGAGGTC